AAAAAAAAAAAAAAAGTACAAAGTCCCAATTTAAACAATGTCTTTCATTTAATTAAAACTTATTGGAAATTGATTATATTCTGAATATAAAAAGTCAAAAATTCATGTTATTAAATAGTGCATATCAGTTGAACATTTAATATGGTAAATTTTTAAATTTTTAATTGAGTTTTAATTAAAGGAAATTAGTTGTTTAAAGTTGGGACTCTAATATTTTTATGGAAGATAGATTTAATATGTATTATTTGCAATACATATACAGTTAGATTCACTTACACACAATTTACACATATATCACTTATCTTTTTATTTTATTTTTTAAAGAAAATTGTCCTTTTCATTTAAAAGAGACAAATGATCAAGATTTTATTTAAGTGATGCAAGTAAGAGTTGTGTATAAGGTGGTCTTGGAAAATTTGAGATGTTTGCATATTTGTTATTTGAAATTAATTTTCATGCCATTGCTTTGGAATCATTGTAATTCATGGTTTTATTACTTTTTATTAAAAAATACAAATTTGTTCATGAAGCTAGAACTGCACTTTTCAGGTTGAGTTTTCCAGCTTTCTGGCATTGATGTTTTCGTCGATGAATATGCGACAAATATTCCAAAAACAACTTTTAACAATGTCTTCAATTGTTCATAGTATAAAACATCTGCTTCCGAAGGGATGTGGCAATTTGAAATATCTGTTTACATCCTGAATGGTTAAAAGTCTTGTGCAACTCCAATTGCTTGAGATTTGTGATTGTGTGATGATGAAAGAGTTAATAGTAAATGAAGGATTAGTAGGGGAGGAAAGTTTGTTGTTACCTAGGCTTGAAACCCTAACTCTTGAAGGCCTTCCCAAACTCACAAGATTCTGCTCTGGAAATTACTTTGAGTTCCCCTTCCTAAGATGCCTTCATATAATCAAGTGCCCTCTGTTGGAGACGTTCATCTCTAGTTCTAATGTTGGGGAAACGAGTCACATGACAGAAAGTAAAATAGTAGAAAGTACTTTTACATCACTGCTCTTTGATGCAAAGGTAAAATTTTTTGCTCTTTTTCCCTTTACTTTTCATTTTTCATGTCTTAAAATATTGCCTTATAATTTCATGTTATATTTCATTTCTAGGTGGGATTCCCTAGATTGAAGCACCTTGTACTCAAAGATATGGAAAGCTTGAACTTGATATGGGACAACCAACTTGATGCAGGGAGCTTCCACAAGCTAGATCAGCTTTTGGTGGAATCTTGTGCAAAACTGTCGAATATTTTTTCAGTTATTATGCTTGGAAGACTTCAAACCTAGACAAACTGAAGATAGAAAATTGTGTTTCACTAGAAAAAATATTTGAGCCTCAAGGGTTGAATGCTAGTGAAACACAAGCTTTGAAAATTGGTCAATCAAATTCGTTCGGAGCAACCCCTAATTTCCTATTTCCAAAAGTAACGCACTTGCTACTTAAGGGGCTACCCAGTCTCAAGAGCATTTGCCCTGGAATTTATTTTACAGAATGGTCGTCATTGAAAGAATTGGTGGTGTTTGGCTATAATCAAGTGCAGATACTTGCTTCAGAACTTCTGAGTTATCAGAGAACATGCAGAGAGAACCAACTTGAAAACCATGATCAATGCCCTCTATTCTTGATCAGTAAGGTATGAGCTCTAAATAATGGACAACAAATAATGTGCATGTGCTAATGCATTATAGCTTTCATGTAAGCTCTTTCTTGTCTAAACTTACTTTTCCATCTACAGATAATGGTTTGGTCTTAAAATTCATCAATTAAATATATTTAATATCTTTATCTTTTAGTCTTTCAAATGTTTTTGTGTGTTTGTGGAAGTTGTTTGTGGAATATTGAGTTGGAGTACCTCTTGTGCTCTTAATAATATTTTTTTTAATTTGGCTATATGAAAAAAGGGCCGAGGATTTAGATCATCTACTCTTTTCATACTCACTGGTTTGAAAATTTTCAAATCATATGTTAATTTCCAGGCTACCTTCCCCAGTCTAGAAGAACTAATATATAGTGGAGAGGAATAAGAGCATGAAGGAGATATGGCATGGTGATGATGTGAAGGATGGCATTGTTTTCACCAACTTGAGTCTTTGCAACTTAAAGTTCTTCCAAAACTAGAAAGCTTCTGCTCAGGAAATTGCAACTTTGAATTTCCATCTTTGGCAGATGTAACCGTGATGGAGTGTCCAAGTATACGGACTTTCTCTGAGGGAGAAGTGAGTACACCAAAATTGCAGAAAGTGAAATTGACAGAAAATTCAACAGATGAAGGAATTTGGCAGGAAGGTAGCCTTAACCGCACACTACAACAGTTGTTCACAAAAAAGGTATCCTATATTTCTTTTGTTCTATGGTTTCTTTCCATCTCCTTAATTGTGCCGTTAAAAGACATGATCAAATTAAATTTGGGGAAAGATTGTGGTAAACTTAATAGATAATTTGTAGTTATATGCGTTAACTAGCCTTCTAAATCAAAATGTGCTGATTATATTTGCAGAGTGGTGATGACGGTGAAGAAGACTGGTCTGATGCTTTGCATAAGCTGTTCAATTAGGATGATGTTTCCGAGGAGAGTGGATTCTCTGATGCCATCAACTTGTCTGATATATTAGATACATCTTTTATACAAGTTGCTATATATATATATATATATACATTGATGATACTTTCTTCCTTGTAGGTTGTATGGTGCACTCCTAATTAAGCTGGATTTCAACGGTGTCAAGCTGAATTTTTCTTGGCACCTAAAATGTTATTTCAATTCCTTATAGTTTATAGGGTGCATTCACTTGTGCTTCGTCTTATCAAAAAGACTTCAATTTTTCTGGTTTGTATTGTGTGAGAGAATTTTTAAACTTGATTTTATTTTCATTTAGATAACTTGATACTGCTATTAGATTATGAATGGAATTATAGGTTGAATAGTTTGTAAATGTTTGAGATCTCACATCAAGAAAGTATAGGAATTTAAAAGAGTTTATAAATGCTTATTCTTTATTAACAAATAATCAAGTAAAGTGAAACTCAAGAGAAATTTAGCCTTGACCCTTTATATATAGTCAAAAAATGGGCACTTTGGCACTTTTCAGGAGCTTGACTGTCAGAACATCTTTAATTTTTTATTATTTTTGGATTTGGACATGTTTAAAAATCAGACATGACTATTGGTAGTCAAAAAGCACCTCTATGAAATGGTGTCTTTTCAAATAATGACTTTTCAAGCATTATAAATTCATATGCAAAGTCAGAGTTCTACATTTAATTGTGAGAGAGTTTTAAGTTCTGTTGTATCCTGGATGATTTTAAATTCTTAAAAAAAATGAGATCACACTCCAAAACAATTCTTTTATGCTCTGTTTGAAAACTTGAATTTGGCAGTGTGTATTTGAATTTGGAGTGCTCAAATTCAATTTCATTGTTTGTTTTTACCTAAATAAAATGTAATTGAATTTGGATAAAATACATGTATTTTAACAATATAATTCCCAAGAGTAAAATATGTGTATTTCAATTTCACCATAAAACCCCTGAATTTCAATTTTGAATTGAATTTGGTTTGCACTCTCCTCACCGACGGCGATGAGAAGCGTCGCAAATTTCGAAAGTTCCCGCTTCCCCCCTCTCCCAAAATTCCTTAGAATCTCACTGTTGTTCCTTGAGATGGCTCATACTAAGCAAACAGCTAGGAAGTCGACCGGAGGCAAGGCGCCGAGGAAGCAACTTGCCGCCAAGGCTGCTCGTAAATCAGCACCAGCCACCGGAGGAGTGAAGAAGCCTCACCGTTTCAGGCCGGGAACTGTGGCTCTGAGAGAGATCAAGAAGTACTAGAAGAGTACTGAGCTCTTGATCCGAAAGCTTCCGTTCCAGAGCCTTGTGCGAGAGATCGCTTAGGATTTCAAGACCGATCTCAGGTTCCAGAGCAGTGCAGTCGTTGCTCTCTAGGAGGCTGTCGAGGCGTATCTCGTGGGGCTCTTTGAGGATACCAATCTCTATGCCATTCATGCTAAGAGAGTCACCATCATGCCCAAGGACATTCAGCTTGCTAGGAGAATTAGAGGTGAGAGGGCTTAGAGGCGTGGTTAATCAATGTAATCCAATGGATATCTGACTTTTGCATTTGCAATCGATTTGTACCTAGAAATCTCCTACTATGTGGATCCATTTTTATCTTGAAATGAAAGTGATGTACGTCTGTAGAAATGGGATGCTTGGTTGAAATTTGTTTTAGTTCCTAGTCCATGCCCGTCGTGAATATTTCTCTATACATGCCCAAAAATTGAATTGAATTTCAATTTTTTTGTTTTTTTGGTTATAGGAAGGTTGAAGGTTGATTTCTAGTTCTGTTAATTTATACAGCAAAAGAAAATGGTATGTTTTACATGAAATACATGATTTTTTCTCTCCTCCTCTGTGTTTAAATTCTTTTTTTATTTCTGGATAAATCTCTTTGGCATTTCCAGGTTCTGGATCTCTTACTTCACCTTTCGTAAAGGTTTCTACCACTCTATCCAGCTTCTCTAGTAGAGCAATTTCAGTGCCAATTGAAGCTGGTTTTCTACTGCTCTCAGCCATATCTACTTCCCTTGGAAGCTGCTCGTCAGACACTTCATTAGCTGTTTTCTCTGTGCTGCTCTACTCTTTTGATAGTGCTACACTTGATTCCTGATATAAGACAGAAACATGAGATGTTTAGCTTGATTTTTTTACAAGTTATCTTTTTTATTGGCTGCTGTAGATCACCGAAGAAGGAAGGAGGATTGGGTTTACAAGTTACTTACCTCTTCAATTTGAATATCTTTACCTCTTAAGTTTGAATATCTTTTGCTATGGTTTTAAATGTTGCATTGTTCTCCTCAGCACCTAGAAATCCATTCTTTAGTTGATCTTCTCAGTTGCTAGCTTTCATTGTTTTAAATACATGAATGATATGTTAGTGGAGGTCATTGTTTCTTTTTTTTTTTTTTCTTACCTAATTTGTTTATCTTGAGATAATTTAAATAATATTTGGAAAGATTAAAATTATTAATTTTGATTTTATTAAATTTAAATAATAATTAGAAGAAGATTTAATTTAATAGAGAAATTTAATTTTAAATACATAGTATTTTAAAATATCCA